ACACACACACACACACACACACACACACACACACACACACACACACACACACACAGTCTGAGGATGAGCACAAACACAAACAAGAAGTTTAATACAAATTGTCTTTGCCCATAGACACACAGCAGATGATGCATTACACATAATATACCCTTCTGTTCATATAAAAATACTCATTTGTATATACTGTCTTTAAGAGACACTACTTATTACCCAACATCAAAAGTCTTTTTCTGTTAACAAAATATTTTGAGCAGTAGAGGACAGATTTTAATTAAGCTGGCAGACTGGATGTACACCTACAGTTGATTCTCTTTTAGAGTCGGCTCATTTTAAGGTGAAAAATCCCAACTAATCAACCCTGGAAAACAAAAAGCTCAGTAAATTCAACAGATATTAAAAACGAAAGATTAGATGTGATTAAAGTTTAGAGTAAACTAAATCCAACAAATGTTTAATTAACAAATTGTATAAAACTTGTTTAAAACTTTAAATGTAACTATCTGTCTGTTAGCAAAATATCTCATGAACTACTGGATAAATTTTATCAGGAAATTGTCAAATTTTAATTATCAACTAATTCACTTTTAAGGTCAACCCAAATCAAGATGGCCACCAAATCCTGCCGAACTTAGGAAACGCAAAAATGGATTTAACTTAAGAAAATCTACAAATATTCACCTAAAAAGAGGTGTAGTAGTAGTTAGGAATAATTCTCAACCAGTGTCGGATCCAGGATTTTTCTGAGTTAGGGTCCATCAATGGGTCACAATATTCATAGAGGGGCCAAGTCTTTGTTCAACATCCTTGCACATAAATCCTCGGTTTTGGTAAGGTGTATACATTTTATTTGTTTATTTTATTTCAAACTTTATTAATTTCTTTGAAAAAAATAAAAGCCATTATACGTACAATAAAAAAGAAAATACTAATAAAATGAAATTAAAGGCGGCAGAAAGAAGACAAAAAAATCTTATAACATGTGCCACTTTTTCCTCAAGTATAAATTCAAACAATACATAAATTAATAATTAAATAAATTGAACTGGTCACATTTGTTCAAACAAGTGTAACGTTATGTAATGTTATTTAAAAAGCTTGAAATCTCCTTATCATTGTTACATACATGTTTAATATACATGGATAAAATATTGTCAAAGCATGTGAGAAAATGAAGCCATTGCTTGCCAGTTGAAAGATTTTTTTTACAAAATTGTTCAAGTCTTTTAACGAAGAGAAGACTTCTGTCAGATTAATTCATGCTGGACTTCATGTTTGACTCATTAGTACCTCTAGCGTTTGGGCATGGAACTGCAGTCACCATCATTGATCTCAGGCAAAATACAGATGAGTGACAGGACAGGGGCACTTCAGGGGGCCAATCAGATTTCAACAGGGGCTAATGCCCCAGTGGTCCCGCCCCTAGAACTGCCCCTGTTCTCCACACGTTTTGTGCAAACAGACGTTGCCAGATCTCACAACATTTCTCGAGACCGTGCATAAAATTATTTTCAAGATTTAGCCAACATGACTGTACTATTATTACTCAACACAAGATGATTTTAGGTTAGTGCTGTACCAAACGATTATTTTTGAATCGATTAATCTAACGATTATTTTTTCGATTAATCGATTATTCTAACAACAAATCTATATCTGATGTGAGTGCACTGGAAATTTAAAATGTTTTCATCAAATTAACAAGAACAGTTCTTTAATATTGTAATATTTTCTGTAATAGTTTTTTTCATGGACACAAAATATGCACTCTAGAGTCAATTC